CCACATATTTATAGATCATAATTTTATATATCATAGTTTGTATATTATGTATTTAGTGGTGTCCCCTTTATTAATGTCCATTATGCCCATTTAATTAATTTTTACTATCTATAGATCCAATCAGACAGATTAATTATCTATTTATGCCCATGTATGTAGTATTACTCATGTGGATGAGCACAGGGAGCAGTCCTATGTGGACCAGATCCCCCTGTGCTCGCTCCGGGTGTTAGCATGATAATCCCCCCTAGTAGAGTGAGATCAGAGCAATAAATCTATGCACAGGTCTACAAGAAAATGGCACCAGAGACTATGGGACGGTCTACAACAAAATGGCGCTGATTCAGATGTTTTGCATTGCAATTATTGTATGGGTATATATGGGAGGCTTGACTTCCAATCGGCTACTCCTGATGAAGTCACATGATGTGACGTAACGCGTAGGGTACGCTAATGACGTCAAGCCGCAAAGCAGAAGTGCACATGCCGCCATTTTGGAAAAGGAAATTCCTGTACAATCTGTATAGTGAGTTTTACCCTGTAGTGTCCCAGGTGGACACTTTTAAATGTGAGTTTATTTTGAGCAATTTAATAAAGTCGGTTTTAATTGGAAATATTACACTATATGGAGTATTTTTTCCTATGTTTGTGGAACCTTCTGGAGAGTTGAAAGTGCTGACGGTGGTGAAGATATATGTACTGGTATACCCTCCTGTCAATACAGTCAAACGTGGAGGTGAGCGCAATAGTGTGTCAGAGGTGGATATACACTAAAGGGTGACATAGGAGCACCGCACATGTGTATGCAGTAGTGTGATTACACCGATTTCACCGGAGTACAGCGGATTTAAAGGGACGGGTCACCATTTGCTTGGATATTTTTGTTTCTGATGTATTTGGAGCACGATATATATAGGAGACACATCGCACAAACACACGTGAAGATTTCTGAGATTTAAAGGGACAGTTCACCATTATATATAATTTGTTTGGATTATGTATATATTCACATATAGCACATATTTTCTATCACTTACACAAGTCTTGTCTACCCTATTCATTTTTGCACGTTTGTATCATGAGCACCATTTGAGTTTATATTGTTGTGCTGCCTTTTCTATATTCATTTTCTTTCATCTGTCCTCAGCACATTCTCACAAAAGATTTTTGACTTCCTCAGGTAAGTTTTGGCAAACTCCAGTCTGGCTTTTATATGTTTCTGTGTCAGCAGTGGGGTCCTCCTGGGTTTCCTAGCGATCACATAGTTACAACTAAAGCAACATTTTTGAGCCTCAAAAAACCCCTTCATCAGGCATGTGACTGTGTCAGGGATCGCGGCGTCCTGTCGGCCGGCGCATGCGCGCTGGCGACGGCTCACGCCGGGACACAGGCACCAGGTCCCGGCGAGCCGTGGATGACAGGACGCCGCGCATGCGCAGTGGGAGCCGCGGGCGCGCCTTGGGCGGCCAATGACAGCCCGGGGGCGCGTCCTGGGCAGCCAATGACAGTGCAGGGTGCAATATTTAAAGATGCCCTGCACTGTCAGTAATCGCTGTCAGATCAAGGTCTATCTGAGTTCCTGAGTCCTGTACCTGTGTTTTTGACCCTGATTGACCCTGACTACGCTGCCTACTCCTGTGTTTGACCCGGATTGTCCTGACTACTCTGCCTTCTCCCATCCTGACCCCCGGCTTGTTTTGACCTCTCTACGGACTGACTTATCCTGCTGACCCTGCGTGTGACCTGGCGATTCTCCGCCTGCCGATTCTGTACCTCGCCTACCCCACGGGATCCCTGCTCGTGATCCATCCTGCTAGGTCCTGCCGTCCTCCTCATATCTGGCTCTCCCGGTACCTAACATCCCCGGAGGTTCCCTCTGCCACTGGTGGGCCTACTCGGAGGTCGTGACCTGGTCCCGGTCTGTTTCAAGTCCATCCCCACCATCAGGGGCCCTGGTGAAAGCACAGACCGGGACTTAGACTCCACACTTTGGGTAGGTCTGTCAAGTGGGCAGCCAGGGGCACCACCTGGCGGATCATAACAGACTGTCACATGCCTGATCAAGTGGTCCTGCAAGGCTCAGAAACATTGCTTTTGTTGTAACTTTGTGATCGTTTATTAAAGCTTTGGACCCACATTGGAGACCCTCGGTGTGTGCTGGTGATATTCTTCTCCTTGGATCTCTTAGTTCCAGCCGATGGTCGCTGCAGCACCCGCTTATATACACAGCCATAGTGCAGGAACGTGTGTGTTGGGATTGTGCACTTGAATATAGTGTGAGCTAACATAGTTGTACCCTGTGTCTGAAGGTCAGCTTGAATTTTCCTGGAAGTTAATCAAGGTTCTTTAGCCACCATTCGTTGCAATTTTTGATTGATTTTTCTCTTTCATCCACGTCCAGGGAGATTAGCTACAGTGCCATGAGCTGTAAATTTTTCGACAATGTTGTGCACAGTGGAACATTAAGATCTCTGGAGATGGACTTGTAACCTTGAGATTGTCTGTGTGTTTCCACAATTTGTGTTCTCCGATCCTCAGACAATTCTTTGCTGCTCTTTTTCTTCTGCATGCTCCATGTGGCACACAGAGACACACAACAAAAAGGTTCAGTCAATTTTTCACTATTTTAACTGATTGTCAAAGTGATTTCTATATTGTCAGCACCTGTTAATGGATACAGGTGAGTTTATTTGGAAATACAGGAGCATCACATATTTGGAATGCAATTATTTCTTACAATTTTGAGAAGGTGCTAATAATGTTGTCCACTCCATTTTTGGGGTTTTGCGTGGACTGTGTCAGATTTGGCTTTATGTTTTTACACCTTTTTGGGTCATACCAATACAAAGAACAGAAATAAACATGAGAATGCCAAAACATTTGTAATTGCAACAATTTTCTGGGTGAGTGGTGCATTATTTGACAGAAAGGTGGGGGGGGGGGGGCAATATTTTTGGCCATGACTGTATATAGAGTGTCTCTATTTTAATATCTTTCTTAGGCTAGGTGACAATATTAATAAGACTTATTTTAGAGCACAATATTTTGTGAAAAATGTATTGAATTTTTTTTTAATCGTAGAAAAGAAAAGCACATTTCAAGAACTTGTAGAACAGTTGAATATGAAAAATCACTTGACGTCCAGAGTGACCTTAACTGATGTCCTGAGCATTGGATCCCAAGATCTAAAAGAAACTGAACTATACACTATTAATGAAATTCCATGGCACTTCTTGAAAAACCTCATGGCTTTGAACAGGTCCTCACTAAGCACTCAGCTGAAAAAAGATCCAACTATTCAAGAAGATAATGATGATGAGAATGATAATGATAATGATGGTGATGATGATATGTTTGATATACTTAAAGTTGCACATGATACCTCAAGTACTATCCACCCTTTGGATGCCCTTTGTGTTCTCTTGCATTGCTCAGACAGTTTTCTACAGCAAGAGATTGTAACCAAAATGTCCATGTGCCAGTTTGCAGTTCCTCTGCTGCTTCCCCCAGTTGGTGACGGGTCACACTGTACCTTTTTGCTGTGGGCAATGAGGGGCATTGTAAAGAAGTGGAGACCTCATTCATTATTGGACAGTAAAGGGTTCAGAGAGGAAAATGTGGTGAATATCCCAATGCCCACTTTCTCTTTTGTCAGATTAGGGGAAAATAAATTATCCAAATCTAAAATCTTAAACCAGATTCTTAATCCAGCCCAACAACAACATAACTTCTTCATATCCCATGATATGGAAGGTGGGAACATTAAGAGAAAAATATCTGATGGGCTGGTGGAAGTTTCATGGTATTTCCCTTGTGATAATTCTGATGTTTTTCCAGAACCCCTCTCAGTGGCCAACCTACGTGGAGACCTGGAGCCCAGCTGGAAACAGTTCACATTTCTGACTCGAGTGTCATCAGCTATCTTCATATTTGTTGAGGACATTTGTGAGAGGCAAGTCAGACTGTTGTCCACCTGCAATAACACTGACACTGAATTTTATTTCATTGTTACCCCAGGTCCCGGCAAAGAGATAAACCAAGAAACTCAGAATTTTTTGAAACACTTAATGGAAACATTACATGTTAGTAAAAAACAATTAATAGTCAAAAGGAACGATCTAAATGATGCAGCATTTGTGAAAAAGATACAAAGTATCCTCAAAACCATAATACGCAAAGAAAGAAAGCCTTCATTAGAGAGTATGAAAAAGCAAACCCATGGGCTCCAGATAGAAGTGGATGAGAACTTTCCTGACTGTCAAAAAGCAAGAGCATGCGCATGTGTTATTACTTCCAAAATAGGAGATGTGGAAGAGTATAAAAAAGAAACACTAAAACTACAGGGGGATCTGTGGAAACAGCTATCCAAAGTAGAAAAAGAACTTTGCAGAATGACAAACCAAGGTGACAAAAATGCCCAACAATATAAAAATGAACTGGAACAGAAACGTATTGAACTGCACAAAAAACAACATGAGCATGATTTACCCAATCCTATAATGCTCTTTGTTACTGCAGTCACTCATTTGTCTCAGGTGGAGAAACAATATTTTTTGAAGTGGATGAAATTAGAACTGGATAGCATCGCTAGGAAGAATCTCACTGCCTTACAAGTGGAATACAAAGAGAAATGCAAAAGCAAGTCAAATAATCCTGTGGAACTCAAACAGGTTGATCAAAAAATATCTGACAGCTCTTTAGGAATTGAACATTTCATCCGTGAGTTAGGGCAGTTTTATGAGGCTGAATGTTCTATGGTTGAAAAAGAAATTATTCCAGCAGAGAGAGCGCAGTTTACGAGACTTCCAAGAATTGCTGCTGACCTTCTCTTGGATGGGTTTCCATTGGAGCTCATAGATGGAGATGCCTCAAACATCCCCATGAAGTGGATAACTGATGTCTTGACTGAATTATGTTACAAGACAGAAATGAAAAGTAAAATAAGAGTAATAACTGTGCTGGGAGTGCAGAGTACGGGGAAATCCACCCTTCTGAACACCATGTTTGGTCTGCAGTTCCCAGTGGCTAGTGGACGATGTACTAGAGGAGCTTTCATGACTCTCCTAAAGGTGAAAGAGGATTTTGAAGGACAACTAGGCTGTAAATTCATTATAGTGATTGACACTGAGGGACTGAAAGCTCAAGAGTTGGCCTCATTAGAGGACAGTCATGAACATGACAATGAGCTGGCCACACTAGTAGTTGGGTTAAGTGATATAACGATCGTTAATATGTCCATGGAAAACTCAACAGAAATGAAAGATATTTTACAGATTGTGGTCCATGCTTTTCTTCGGATGAAGAAAGTAGGGAAGAAACCAAACTGCCAGTTTGTACACCAGAATGTCAGTGATGTATCTGCCCATGAAAACAACATGAGAGACAGGAAGAAACTTCGGGAACAGCTGGATGAAATGACGAAAGTGGCTGCAAAAATGGAGAAGCAAGATGGAATCACATCTTTTAGTGATGTGATAGACTATGATCTGGAGAAACACAGTTGGTACATTCCTGGTCTGTGGCAAGGGGTCCCTCCAATGGCTCCAGTAAACTCTGGTTACAGTGAAAATGTCCAAAAGCTGAAGAAGTATTTATTTGAGTTCATGAGAACCCAAAATGCAGCTTGCAGCATAAATGAATTTATTACATGGATAGAAAGCTTGTGGAAAGGAGTAAAACATGAAAAATTCATCTTCAGTTTTAAGAACAGTCTGGTAGCTGATGCTTATAATAATCTGACTATGCAGTTTTCTATTTGGGAATGGGAATTCTGCAAAAAAGTCTACAACTTTGTCACCAGCACAGAAAATAATATAAAAAATCAGACGGCTGAGAGTCTGGAGATTCAAACTTGTGAGGAGTACAAGAGAGAACTTCACCAGCTGGTTTTTGAGGAGGAACAAAAAATGATTGATTTTGCTAGACAAATATTTTGACAGTAAGTCTGGAAATGTTCATCTTATAGAACGTTATCGGGAAGATTTCAGAATAAGTGTACTGTTCCTATGGCAAGAACTTGAAAGAAATGCTCTGAACAAATGTAGCAAGGCAGTTTCTATCCAGAAGGGGAAGTTTGAGATCCAGAACATCCAAAGTCAATATCAAATACTAATAGAAGAAAAAATTAGTTCTCTCTTAGAAACCAGTAAAAAGAGAAAAAACTAAGCTAAGTTTTGAGAACATAGAACATGAATTTGAATCAATGTGGAAGAGGACATTGAGAGATCTGAGGATGAAGAATTTAGAGAGACGCAATATTGAAAATTTAATTTTACAGCAACTAAGACATGACCTGAGCAGTAGGGGATCTGCTGTACATGAAAAATTAAAGGGCATAAGCAGTCTACAAGACCATGGTCAGCAAACGTTTAAAATGGATGAAAAGTACATTGATCACTCTTGGTGGGATCTAGTCAAGGACAAATTGGACATTCAAAGTCAAACATTTGAAAGAGTAGAGAATTTTGCTGTCTCTCTAATAGATATGTGCGACAAATATGTTAAAGAAAAAGCTGATACGTCCGAGGATTATGATGACACCTACAGTCAAGAATTACTGTACAAGATCAATGAAAAACTTCAAAGTACTACCAATCTTCATGGTTCAAGAGAACTGGAGCTAGATATCAAACTGATCACTCTTGGAAATGCGGCTGAAAGGTTTCAGGAACTGCATGATTCATTTATCACAAATAATGACCCAACATTTTGTCTGGAAAGCCTTAAACCTCAATACTTGTCAGCATTCTTCAGCATTTTTCAAGAAAAAGGTGAAAGCCAGAACCGAGCCAGACAATTCTGTGAACGATGTCTAAAACCAGCAATTACTGACTACGTCTTCAAACATCTTGGGAAAAAAATTGTGGATGACATTTTACACAGTTCTGAAAACATCATATTCAGTAGCAGAAGCTTTTTTCAGTGTAAAATGCTTGAAAAGCTATTGGAAGAAATGTCTTTCCAGAAATACGTAGAATACATTCATTCATATGAGAAATTTTCAGAATCATGGATACTAAGTTACATCTCTGAACAGTACAAGAGCTCAGCCACGTTAAAGAATTTATGCAAAAATCTTCTCTACTCCATAATGATGAAAATAGAAACTGCACTTAAAGAGAAAGCATGTATAGAAATGCCTACTATATCATCATTTTTAGAAAAAGTTTGTGAAATGTTACAAAAGGAACTGGTAATACCACAGAATGAGATGAAAGTGATCACTTTTCGTAACACGACTGCAGTTGAGCAGTTTTCATCTGACATTCAACATTCCCTCACAGAGACAGAGCAACAAATCCTAACAGAACTGGGATCTCTGGATATACAGGCTGTACTTTCCAAAGTGACTCTGAAGCCTCAGGATGAATTGCTCAAGAAGGTGATTGGTTGTGGCAAACAGTGTCCATTCTGTAAAGTTCCTTGTGAAGCAGGAGGTGGAGAACATAGGCATCACTTTGCATCTATCCACAGATCAACAGGATTGGGAGGATATAAATGGCACGAAGATCGTACTTTGGTAATAGACGTCTGTTCCACGCTTGTTGTATCCAAAAGCAACTTTAGGAATCCAGATACAGATGGGAAATGGCATCCATACAAAGAGTACCTTACATATTATCCAGACTGGACCATTCAGCCTGACCCCAGCGTTGAGTGTTCAGACTACTGGAAATTTATATTCGTACAATTTAATCAGCAGTTTGCAAAAAAATACAGCGCAAAACCAGCCAAAATTCCAAAAGAATGGGAGATAATCACAGAAGTTCAAGCTCTTAACAACTTAATGCAAGTGTTCAACATGGACTAACATCCCAGTGTTATGAACAACCGCTGGTAAATCTATAAAAGAATGTCCACCTAATAAATGTATTAAAACTGATTCTTCAGCTTGATCATAATTGTATGCTTCTAGCCTATTTCCATAGTCATAGTCACAGCCTACATCTACTCACTTGTACCACTTAACAATTAGATTCAAATAGATGATCCTAGACCTTCATATGAGCAACCTATACCACTGTTGGAACCAGAAAGGACTCTGACTGCTAAGGCCTATATAAGAATTTTTCTTTTAGTCATTTTACACCTCTTAATTTGCATAATGTGTCCTGGACCATTCATTTATACCTGATCAACATCATCGGGAATATAGATGAGCAAACTGCAAAAAGTCCACATCTAACAGACCCCTTACTATGTCATATTGCTGGGCAGAAATAGCTCTGCCTCACCTTATTCGGATTGCCCTACTCCATTGAAGCGTGAGCTCTCTGCTGTTCATAGTGACACTGTGAAACATCCAGGGTGAAAAAATCACAAAAAAAAAATCAAACTTGACAATATTATGCAGGCATTTAACACTAAACACCATAATTTTATGAACAGCCATCAAGAAGGCAGTGAACATACGGTCCTTCTATTACATGCGTCACAGCGGATTCCCCAACCTGCTGTAGTCTTACAGCCTCATAGATGCTACTACTTTGTACTTTTTAATAATGAGGTGCTCTTATCTTCATATGAGCCCCCTATATCACTGGTGGACAATCATTAAAGGAAATCTGTCAGTTACAGAGATCTATCCTAGAAGTATATTTTATACTCAGAAAATGGTAGCCATTCGACACCTCCTAAACTGAATACTTCATTGGTGATATAGATAAGTGGACTACACAACATTCACATTCAATGGATGCATTACTAGTTGATATTGCAGACCAAAAAACAGCTATGATTTCCTTTTACTGGATGCCCTGCTCCATTAGAGTTCAGACTTTCTGCCCTTCATGATGACTTTGGCCATTCCTAGGATCCAATGGTGAGCCTCATTTTAGGTGCACAGGGGCCAATTCTCTACTAATAAAGTGCCTTTATTTCTTTAAAAGGTTCACCTTCTGTCCCTCTGATCCCCACACTGTGCAGGACAGGAAGTGGGGATACATTTTCCTAATGGGTGCCGGTAGGAATAAAATCTTAATGAGGTTAGGATCTATTACTGCAATATCCAAAGCAACAAAAAATGTTTTTGGCTGGAGTTGGCCTTAAGACAAAGAGTTCCTTATTAATGGGACCATTAGTGTGAAGCATTGTAGATGTGATTATTCAGAATCATTTTAAATTGATACAAAATTAAATCTGTTTGTTCCATCATTTGTGTCATGCATATAAAAAATGTATTAAAAAAAATGATGACAAATAGATACAATGATTTCAACCAATACAAATTTGCTACACATTCGCTTCAAATTAATGTGTAACCTTAATTTGCATTTATCTTGTGCATTCACTGTTCCTCTTTACAAATAGTGAACTGTGGGGAATGCATTCAACTCTATGTAAAGTATCTAATGGTAATGAAAATTCAAGTCATGGGTGTCAAATCATATTTTTTTAACCTTCATGTGAATTAGGTCCTGTGCCAGGAACAACTGTGTCTAGTTCTGAAAGCTTAAAATCAATGTACTGTTAAATTCCATGACACATTGGGGTTGATTTACTAAAAGCATCTAGACTGTTCTCTTTGCAGGTGAATATTCCCTAGAGCTTCGTGAATGAGGTAAATTTCTGCTGACTTCCATCATTCAATCATGTGGAAGCAAAAATGCTGTTTTTATTTCCCTTGCATGTGATTAGGTATTTGTTGTAAAGTGAAACTTCACCGTATTTACTAAGCTCTAGGGAAAGTTCTCTTGCAATGTGCAGCGCTCAGATGCAAAGAAAACGCTTATTTGCCTAGATAAATCAACCCCATTATTGCTATAAAAATGAAATGATACAAGCAGGGTGGATTTGATTTAAATCAAACTGATTTAAATCACGATTTAAATCACTAGTCAGTAAGGCTTGATTCAAATCCTAGTTTTCTACATAAAGACTAATTCTTGCTGGTATAACTGTAATATACAAATAGATGAAGATTTTTATAATAACAACTTATCATATTAGTTTTTTTATCCCCAGTTTAATAGGTTAATCATTCATATTTGGACAACTTTTCTGTTGTACTTAGAAGGAGAAAAATAATCATTACCTTAATAATAATTTAAATAGATTTATTCATCTGAAACAATAACATTCCAGCATATATGATTTGCTTAAACATCCATGTTTGGTAACTAATTTGGCTAAACAAAATATATATATTTTAAGAAACTTAGACTGTCAGCCCCTTCCTCCTCGCACTGTCGGCCCCTTCCTCCTCGCACTGTCGGCCCCTTCCTCCTCGCACTGTCGGCCCCTTCCTCCTCGCACTGTCGGCCCCTTCCTCCTCGCACTGTCGGCCCCTTCCTCCTCGCACTGTCGGCCCCTTCCTCCTCGCACTGTCGGCCCCTTCCTCCTCACACTGTCGGCCCCTTCCTCCTCGCACTGTCGGCCCCTTCCTCCTCGCACTGTCGGCCCCTCCCTCCTCGCACTGTCGGCCCCTCCCTCCTCGCACTGTCGGCCCCTTCCTCCTCGCACTGTCGGCCCCTTCCTCCTCGCACTGTCAGCCCCTTCCTCCTCACACTTAGTTTCACTTTCTTCTTGTGCAGATCTATTCCACTCCAAACAATCA